ATTCAAATTCACAATAATGTAAAAGCACCTATATAGCAAAACTATATAGCATTTAAGCTCCCCACTATTTATAAAAGTTATTACTGAGTGACTCTTGCTCATTCAAGGTGCCTCCAAAAGGCACAAATAACTTTCTAGGCCCCAGCTGTGCTCAGAGGCTGTCCTCATGAGCATTTTCCTGTCTTTTACACAGGCTTTGTCTTTGCTGGAGTAAGTGTAAGTCTTTTGATCAGGTTTTCTAACATGATGTCACTGTCAAGATAAGGTAAACAGTAAGATGACTTTGACTTGAGTTGGCAGGTCCGCAGTAAATGACCGTGATCCAGAGTCTTATGTGTTGGCATAAAGATTTGCGCTCTGTTAGTTACTACACACTACAAAAAGAGTTAAAGAACAAACTGTAGCCATAGTGAATACTGATCTGATCCCATCTGACTTATCTCCTTCTACCACTTGAACTCAGTCAAACAACACGAAATAAGCAAGCTGAGATGTGGAATGGAAAAAATCTTTTCTGTAGTACTGAGGAAGGTTACATTGTCTTAGATTTTTGACTTCGACTGTTACGGCATTTTAGAAAAAAAGTCAGAAAAACAAATTCACACAATAACAAAAAAGATTTGCAAAATTTTAATAGTATACCTGAGCTAGTTCATTCTTTGAATAAACAACCTAGGGTATAAACCAGAGCTTATATGTACGTTTGTGACAGTCCACCCTTCAGAAAAAGCTGCAACAATGCCACGCAGCTGCAGAAATGACTCCATTCGTCCTATGATCTTTTGGCTTTACAGGCAAATCCACTCAGATCATCCCAAAACATACTTAAAAGTAATATCACAAAATAACTTCTGATTTTTCTTCTCAGTTTAATGGTTTTCATAACGGTCTGTAAGCTTTTTAAACACCACACTGCTGCAGCAAGTGAGTTCCTTCCCTTCAAATTGAATGAAATATGTAGGAATTGAGTTAGATGCATGTTATATCTTAGTGAAATTCTAATTTGCTAGAAGATTACCCAGTTAGGTATGTTCATGGACGCTGAAGTTTGCAACGCATCCATCATAGAAGCTATATATGCATAGGATGTACTATTTCAACTATCCTATCATCATGGCATAAGAAAAAATTGCAGAGTAAATAACTGTGCCACACATTGCATATCATGTATACACTTGATATAGGCTTCAAATTGACTTCAATTAAGTGATTTTCACATGGCATAAGACAAACACCAAGCTCCTGCTAGATTCACATAATACCAGAAAGATAGTACACATGCGTATGTGAAGTCAAGCACATCTGGGAATATTTAAGAATTCCACAGAACATAACTAAGCATTTCAGCACACTACAAATTTTCCTTAATGACTTTCCGATACAATGTGCGATTCTGACGCTCTTTTTTTTCCCAAACGATTTAGGATAAAATAACAAATCAGTAATTATAATTAACTCAGCAAAACTCTTTGGTAGGATAATGAAATCCAGATATTAGTTAAGACACATGGAAAACTAAACAAAAAAGAACCCCAAACTGAAAACTACAAAAGCTTTTTATTCCATCTAATAAATTCTGTGATCTACCAGCCTAAACAATTAGTGGTCTGTGAAGACCATGCATTTCAGCCATGCAGCATGCAACAAAGCAGCACGTAACACAATGCAAAAATGGCAAAGAAAACCAAGTGATGGCCATGCTAGTATTTGTCAAGGGTCTCCTTACCAAACAGTGAAATCCTATGCCTGACAAGAACTCCAAGTTTGCAGAACAGGCTGAAGACAAAAGAAAAATAAAAGAGGAGAGAAGGGAAAAGGAAAAAAATAAGGGGGGGAGAAGAAAGAAAAAATAACAGCTGATATATGAGCAGGAAAAGCAACATGATGTCACGCAGAAAGAATCAATTATCTGAGCAGAATGTGGGACAGAGTACTAAAGAAAGAGTTTTTAAGTGCATATCCTTAACAAACATGGTTAAATAAGCACATATTGTAATTAAAGAAACAAAAAAAAATTAAAAGCAAAGCTAATTAATATAAAAGCGTTCTATATGATAACCCACAAGGAAATAACCATCAAAGCTTTAAGAAGTAAAATGTGGTCAGTGTGCTATTCGAGATACCACTGACAATTTGAAAACACAAGGTAAGGAAATCAGATTAATTGAAGTGTTTGATGGCAAATGTTTAACTAGTCCAATTCAGATCTTGTTATCTTGAACACAGTGAGAATTTCTTTTCAAATACATTACTTTTTAAACACACTTAACATGAGAAATAGCCTCTTATATGGTTAAAAACCAAGAAAAATGGATATGATCAATGATTTCATTTCACATGTTTGAACTACTTCCTGTGCCAATGAGCGCTGCCCTGTTCTGAACAACGAAGAACGAAGTTTTGTGTTAATTCATAGAAGCAGGAGCACACACTGCCCTATCCAAATTGACCAGACCTCCAGATTTAGGAGGGGTTAGCTCAATCTTCATGATCCATTTCGGTCCGAGAATTTTCTCTGAGAGCAACATCAATTTTGGTGTTATTTTTTATACTGCAAAACCCCTCATCTGCTATAAATGACATGAAGAACATAATGTCATTTTATTAAGCTATTTAATTATTAGGCACACATGCTATTTATCAACTCTGATTTAAAAGCAAAAGATACCATAAGCATTTCTGCACAGTTTATGGATGAGATCTGAACCCGTTGTTCCATTAATAGACAAGAAGATAGTATCAAACAGAAACATTTATGTCCAGAATCAGAACGGCCAGGTTAATGTGGTGTTGAATCCAGTTAATTAGACACTGCATAGTGATCCACTATAGCAACAGCAACTGCTCTGTTTTAGAAATGAGTCTGCTTGGTGCATGTTCAGGGATTTTTGTTCACTTTTTATTCCATGAGGCAGACATATGCTATACATTCTTTTATGAGGATCCTGGTTCACCCAGTCCAACAGGAAAAGCTACACAGAAGCATGTTATCATCATATAAATCTTGTGTTCATTCTAACGAAGACACGAAATAGCTCACAAACTATCTTATTTTCTAACATACAAATGTTACTCAACTGACCGTAGCATTCAGCAGATGCTATGTTTTCACAAAGTCCGACTGAACCTACTATCTTCAGTGTAATTAGTTCAGGTTAAATAAATACATAAATTAAAATGGTCAAATGGTCAGTACTTTGACATCCAGAACTAATTTTATACAACAGCAGTAGTGCAAGGACTTGTAAGATGGTCTAATGGATGAGAAATGCAAAAAGCCCAATCCTGAAGAGGCTGGTTATAAATAAGATGGAATATAATGCCACCACATTTCAGGAAGAGGTCTGACCCATATTTGCCCACAAAACAGGTCTGGATTTAATGTATTTGCTGAATAAAGAATGGTTATTGCACTTGTTAACACTATCATTGCATTACCAATACCTAAAATTATACTCTTCCATAGCTTAATGAATGCAAGTTTATCTTCATTGGAAAAAGAAAACAGCCAGGAACTGCCCTTAGCTTGAAGGAAATCCCACCTATAAGTTGCACTGAAACAAATCTAAAGGGAAAACTCAACAGAAAATCCAAAATTTACCTTTGGCAAACTCCCTACAATACTGTAGGGGAAAACCAAAAACAACACAAAAAATATTGGGAATCTATTAAAATGGCCAAAATAACCCTTCAGGAAACGGATTATATAATGTAGTTTCTATAATCTTTGCAAAACTAAGAAGTAAACTGCTCAATAGCACTTGTTATAGCTATCATTCATCCAAAGTTTCCTTGCATGTGTTTTCTCTTTGGCTGACACTCCTGGATGGAAGGTAACGCAATTAAGCATGGCAGCAGCTCTGATCCTTTTGCTGGGCTGTATGTTCAGGAATCTCACTCACGCAGCTAGACAGCATATCTGCAGAAGTCCTGAATCTATGCAGCAGGTAAGCTGATATATCCATGTTTGACATTCCAGAAGTACGGGGTTTATTGGCATGACTTAACAACTGTGAAAATATTGTTATTCAGGACATTACAGGCAGAAAAACAGCAGCTCATAGAGTGGAAAATTATCTGGATGCATGCATTTTGATAGAGTTTTTTAATTCTTTGAAGAATGTCATTCAGCCAAGCTGCCAGATCAAATTAGTCCATGAGATGACACAGGGTCAAGACAGCCATTACTTACTTATGCTTAGTATTGTTGCTAGAAACTTTACTCATCATTCACACAGCCTTGCAAACCCCGCATGTCTGTATGACCACCAATTGGCTGTCAGCCTCAAATAACAGCAATTCACTTTTGCATGCGTCAGTACCCAATAACAGCCAAGAAGGCAACCATGACACCTATACATTACAGGTATGCAATAGGTCCTGTGTGAAGCTTGTAGTCTACCTTACTAAATGGGAAATATGGGAATATGGGAAATTAAGTGAAAACATATCTTAGAGAGATGATCTAAAAATTGATAACTTCAGAGAAAGGATCAAGTGGATATTTCTGTCACATTGCTACTTTTATTATTATTTAGAAAACCAAAGAGCAGAAAGAATGCAACACTCCCATTTTTACTTCTTATGGTGGACAGTAATAATGATACTTACTGAAACTCAGTTATAAATAAGTTTGACTTTTAAATCTACCAGAAAATTTTGCAGGAATAATGATTTCAGTATTTCCAACAGCGAAAATTGATATGCAACTGTATAGCCTGCACCACAGACTGTGCAACCGATGTATTGTTGCACATAATGCTAAATTTAAGTTCCCTGCAGGCTAAAATCATCACCACTACCAGAGCATATAATCATAACTCCTTTCTTCATTTTAGACAATGAATTTTCCTAACAGGAAAAGAAAGTGAAAAAAGTTTAATTTGCGTGTTCATAAAAATATTTCTCTGCCTCCCATTTCTCACTTTCCCTCAATCAACTGCTGCTGTTTAAAGACAAACACACAAAGGGATACACATTAATATTATCTTAAGTTTTACCTTGTCACCATTTCTTTCTCCTTATTAGAGGCATGGCCTCCACTGCTGAGAGGCCTACTTGCTGCAGATAAGAAATACAGGCGATGATTTTTAAAATACTGATCAATCAAAGGGAGCACAACCTGAAATTACATCAGAAAGAAGTGGTTATCTCAGGGCTTTCTTTACTGTGTTCTGTATTACTCTTTGTAAGTCACAACTAAAGACAAGAGATTTCAAATACATTTTCTGTTTTAAAATCTCTATGTATTTTCCTTTAATGTCTATTCCTCTTTGAATTTATTTAGTATTCAAGGCACTTAAAATGTCATCAGTAAAGGCAGCAGAAAAAAAGATACATTATATCTGGGACTTGATCTGTGGGGTTTTTTAGGAGGAGACAAAGTAGAAAGTGTAATTTCATTTTATCTCACAATTTAAGATTTTTCCAGTACCACATATCCAGACAAAACTATTGCTGTTCATGCCTTTTAACCTAAGTTTAAGAAAAATCCACCTACAATTGTCAGCACACTAACAGCACTTAACTCTAGATGCTATCAAATAAACCATCCTCACTCATTAAGGGCTTGTCCACAGAAGTTTTCCTGTTTACTTCATGTGGTGACTATTACTTAGGTGTTAGCCAGGAGGAGATCCAAAATAAATAGCCAATAAGAAAAAACAGCCAATAAGAAAATCTGAAATTGCTTCCTTTTTGGAACATGGTTCAAAAGAAGATGGAATACTAGCTTCTGAGTCAATGAACTTGGCAAAAGTACCGCATGGAAGTACTTTAAGATATTGAGATTACAATTTACTGCAAGGATATCGGGGTTAGAAAATGCTACAAACAGCTGCCTTCGCTTATTATTTGCTTATGGAGGGCTCACTAGCTGGAAAGCAGCTTTGCAGAGAAGGACCAGTGGGTCTCAGTGGACAGTAAACTGACCATGAGCCAGCAATGCACCCTCACTGGAAGGGCAGCCAACAGCGTCCTGGCTTGCATTAGACAGGGCGTTGTCAGCACGTCCAGGGAGGTGATTCTTTCTCTCTACCCAGCACTGGTGAGGCCACATCTGAAGTGCTGTGCCTGGTTCTGGGCTCCCCAGTACAATCGAAACATGGACATACTGGAGAGAGAGTCCAGTGAAGGGCCACAAAGATGATTAAGGAACTAGGGGACCTTTCAAATGAGCAGAGATTGAGGGAGCTGGGACTCTTTAGCATGGAGAAGAGAAGGTTCAGGGAGGATCTCAATAATGTGTATAGATATCTGAAGGGAGAGTCTAAAGAAGAGGCAGCCAGGCTCTTTTCAGTTGTGGCCCATGAAAGGACCAGAGTCAATGGGCACAAACTGAAATACAGTAGGTTCCCTCTGACCATGAGGAAACACTTTTTCTACTGTGAGGGTGACTGAGCACTGGCAAGGGTTGCCCAGAGAGATTGCGGAGTCTCCATCCTTGGAGATATTCAAAAGCCATCCAGACATGGTCCTGGGCAACCTGCTGTAGGTGACCCTGCTTGAGCAGTGAAGATAGCCTAGATGACCTCCAAAGGACCCTTCCAACCTCAGCCATCCTCTGATTCTGATGGAGACATCAGCATGGTTTTAACACAAGGAAAGAAATAAGGAAGGTGACACTGACAGATACATAGCTGTGTTAATTCATCTGCTTGAATATAATAAAAGAGAAAAATCTTCAGAATTAGGCAGAGCCAGTAAACAGAAAATGTAGGGAGGTTATGAATAACATCATATGAGTAGCTGCATATCATGGAGCAAGGAAATAATGAGAATAAGAATATAGTCCTGTAATTTTTTCAATTTATCCTACAATGTTTTCAAGCTATTTTTATTACTATTGTTTTTAATTAATAAAATAAAGAATTTAACACAGAAAAGTGCAACTATAACAATAATAATCATGTTCACTAACAAATACTTTCTCACTTCAACTACTTATTAAGTTTACAAAGAATCAGAAAAGATATACTGTACTTTGGCAAAAAACTTGATTTCTTGTTCATATGGGAAGTGCTCTCCTTTGCCTCTGCTGCCACCATCTGCAGAGAAAAGAAAATTAAACTCCCTGTCATATATCCTAATTACAGTTTACCTTGCATTTTTCTTAGAAAGTGTACACTATAAACAAATAATAATCGTCATCTTTAGAAGTAGATTTAAGATACCACAAACAGTATACTTACTAGTTAAAGTGGCATTTTATGACTACCTAATGAGAAGAAAAGTTACAGCAAATAAAATGTGCAAAGAATGATTATCTAAATCTTCATAAAAGTGTAGGCATCTCATAGTCCAAAGACATACTGATATTTTCGTGAGATGAAAATCCAGTCGTATGTTTGTATTCTTCTAGTTATTGGTGACAATTTGGAAGCCTAAACTCAGATTCTAATAGAACACTTTCTCCAGTCATTTCCAGGAGAAACAGAACTGTCAAATTATTACTACTCATTTGTAGACTTTGTCTAAAAGAAGATATTAATGGTCAGAACTACCCAACGGAAATTAAAATTGCTTCATTTCCCCCATTACTACAAAAATCAAATACTCTTTAGAGACATAATCTGGTACATCTCCTAGTCTATTTATCCTTTATTTATCATCTTCCTTTTACTAATCCATTGAGGGACATGAATGGCATTTGTTCCACCAGCGTTTCCAGTGTTTCAGTATTTATTCATTATCATTCTTGTAGTTATGCCAAATCTATAAAACTAAGTAGAATGAAGCCATGATAATGAGGCATTAGCAGCAGAAGTAACCCAATGAGTTACCAAGGCCAGATTTTTGCTACTGTAACTAACCATGGCATATAATAATTCATAAATTTCATAATTTCCACTTTTAAAGGAGATAGGCTTTTGAATAGCATTGATTTATTCAATCTCCCTGCTGTTCCTGCCATTAACACTGTCAATTATAGCACCTATGCCCAGATATGAGGCACGGTGTATGTCATGTGGCATTGCAACTCCCATGGTCACACAAAAGCTGCATCTGACCAGATCAGTTAAATCCTTTCCTTCATAGCACTGTTGACTATGAATGAAACACATGCTGGGTGTTTGTGAAAGAACATTCCCATTGTGAGAGTTTGTTAAAGAGGTTTCCCTACTTAACTTCCTGCTCCAGAGAAAATTTCAGAATGGTAGAAATGACTGGTTTAATTTGCTTTGTGGAAAAGGGATTAGATGTGAACAGTAAATATTAACATGCACATGTGAGATTATCAATTTGTGCATAAATACAAGGGGGCAGCTAATTTTCTTTTTCAAAGAATGAAAGTCATAAATTTTGGCTGAACACTTTTGATCCGATGAATGAATATGGGAAACTGGAATGAATATGGGAACTACATAACTTTCCAAAATTCATCACCTTCATCAACTATAGGAAACTAGAGGGAAAACTCGTAGTCCAAGAATGTGTCATTTTTTTGGAAATTTTCTAGTTGTTTCTATAATATCAAACATCTTAGTTAATAACTCTTAAGAAAATGCACAAGGAATACTATACCAAACTCCAGAATGTACTGATGGGCTTCATCCACATATCTTATAAGCTGCTGAAGGAAACTGTAGGCAAAGCGTTTCTCAATGGAAGGTGTGTCTAATTCTAGGTCCTTAAGTCCTCTGTAAAAAGAAGCAAGTCAATTTTCACAGATGCAGAAGGACTCAAAGCAGTCTTACCTCTCCATGTAGTCCAATGCTATTTTCTCTAGTAATGATTAACTGCTTACTAACATAAGAATTGTTCTGTATTTGAAGTAAACAGTACTCTTAAGCTTATTTAGTTTTTGAGCAATTTAAGATACAACTCAGATTTCCCAAGTAGAAGGTTACAGAAAAATGAGACTAGTCAATCAGATTAATCCCGTATCATTGTAATTTCTTTCCCTTACTTATAAGGCATTGGGTGAGGGAGTTTTGAAACTGCCAAAATACTTTGATTTAAACAATCAAACCAGAAGCAAATCTAGTCTCCCTGATTAAGACCTTTCCCCAAAAGTCTGTAGTGGTAAAACTGTGAATAGTGATGGAGCATTTGTGAAAAATCAGGGGAATACCAAAACAAAGTGATGGAGCAGTTTACCTTTTCCAGTATGCTCCAATATAGTTACTAGTCTGATATGAAAAGCAGATCTTCTTTCAACAAGTATGAATCTGCAGAGGGTGGTTCCATGATGTGGGCTGATGTCTGCTAGCAACAAGTTGGCAATGACATGAGCCCTGATTCTGCAGAATCAGGACTTTAACGATGGCACATGAAGAAGCTGTGCTTAACCAGCAAGGGAGTCAGTCACCCAACTGTCAGAGGCACCAAGTACATTAGTACTCAGTTATTTTGCAAGTTTAAAAAGTGCACCTATTGAATATAACTGGTTGTGTAGTGCACATTTCTGCTTTAAATTAGAACATTGATGATGGTAGGATTCCGTTTCAGAAAAATAGATTCTGGAACTAAAGCAGCTTTGTCAGCTGATACTTGTAAGGGTACAAGTGTACAGGTGTCTGCTTCATTAAGGTTATCTGATCAAGGACCTTCTCAATGCAAAAGGGCACAATAAGAGGGAAGTCATAAACAAGAACCCACAGAGACACAAATGTGGCAGACAAGGGATAAAGGAGACAATGCTGGAGACCAGAAGTCTCCAGTTACTAATTAACAGGCCATTAAGAGACTTCAGACAGAACTTTGGAGAGGGTCACCTGGATTTTGTAACTCCTAAGAGGAGGGGACACAAAGAACATGAGGATTTGGAATATTCAAACTGGAACTACACAAACTAATGACTGAATGTGCAGGGGAGGGGGATCGAGGAAGAGCAAAGGGGAGAAAAGACAAAAAGCGGTATAAAAGGGGCCAGTCACATGTAAACCATGGCCTGTCGATACAGTCATCAGGCTGAGCTCTGCACCTCATCACTAGAGTCTGTCCTATCTCATTAAATCCTTTCTTAACTACCTGTCTCCGTAATATCACCCACTATCCCACGTGTACGGGTGTGCTGCGAGGAGTAAGTGCCAGCTACTGGCAAGACCAGCACGAGTGGACACTGGGCCAGCAACAGGTGTGAATGAGGAGTGAAACAGTAGTTGGAGAAGCCATACCTTTTGGGAACATCTCTTGGGTCCTACAAACTTTGAGCCTAGAATGCCAGCTACCGCAGGAGACTGGCATGAGTGGATTTGGTGTGAGCAAGTAGGAGTCCCAAGCGGGAATGCTGTGTGTCCCAAAAACCAGCTAATGTGGGGGGACAGTAAGGCAAGTGAGGAGCTCAGCACCAGTAGCCAGAGTGGGAAGATGGGTCACAGGCCGTGTGACTGAGTGCCACATGCTTGGCAGGGGGCAAGTGTTTGTATCCTCCCCAAACCCAGTCTGTATGAGGGTACACTAGACTAGAATGGTCACTGTCAAATAAAAGACTGGAAATAAATGTATGCACGGTATATGTGACAGAAAGTCAAGCAGGAAGTAGACCAAAGAAAAACATGAATCAGATGCTTGCTTGTTTTGACAGCACAGTGGTCCCAGGAGCAGCAGGTACATTGAGCTGAACTTGATAGAAAGACCTGCATTTGACTAGCACAGGAGGATGTAGATGCAGCAGGAACTATTTACTAGATGATGGCTGTGTCCAAGTTAACAATTATCTTGCCATCCTTTCAGCCTTCCACTCCTCCAAAAACCAAAATCACTTTAAGTTAGTGTTTAAGTTAGACACAAATGAAAAGGATTAGTCAGAAAGCAATGTGTAACCTTGAATACAGCTGAGAAGCCTTTTGTCATTCTGGCAGGGGATGAGAAAAGAAACCTTTGCTGACTGACATCCTTCTTTATTGAAGGGAAGTAAATTGAATTATTCCAGCTACCCTGCAAGATTTTACCTAGAATTATTAGATGAGCTGTGGGACTCTATAAAAGGGCTGAATGTCATATGTGATATAAAAGAAAGGAAGTAGGCAGATTTTAAGTAGATGTGCTAGGCTAATTAATTCATAATGATTACTTAAATCCATCTTTGCCTGTTTCATTCACTTACTAATGTTCAAGTCATACAAATCTGAGATACACTTTCAGCCTTTCCTAGTGACTCACATTTCCTAAGCTATGCTGATGAGGCAGACAAGCCTCCAATTTAATTAAAATTCTATGCACGCTGCATTTAGTAGGTAAATATGTCATATTAAAACCAAAAGGAATTATGCATGTTATTCCGCAGAGAACAGCCTGTCTAAGTACTGAATTATGAATGTTCTGTTGATTACTACATTTATTCACTATTATTACCTTTACACTGTGATGCATGTTGTTCCGCAGAGAACAGCCTAAGTACTGAATTATGAATGTTCTGTTGATTACTACATTTATTCACTATTATTACCTTTACACTGTGGATTGTTTAATGAAGACTTAATAATTCTACCACCTGTAGAAAATTAACAAGTTTACTAACAGTTGCATGTACGGAGACAGAAAGAAAAGCCATGCTGCAACGTAGAGAGGAGGGGCAGAAGACACGCAGAGATTCTGGGGAACTCTGCTTGTGCCTTCCGAAAACCCTGCTGCTAACTCCATCATTCATTTTTTCCTTACAGTGCTCTATATGAAGGAGCTCCTCCTTACTCCCAGGTACTGAAATCTAAAAATGACCACAGAATTTTCTTCAAATTGAAGAAAGGAAAAAAAAAAAAACAAAAACCACGGGCTACTGAGGAGTATTACAAACCTTCTGTGACACTAATACTGAACTAATACCGAGGAGAGAATTACCTGGAGACAACATATCCATTAATCTGTAGAAATTTCAGAATATCCTGTGCTTTTTCTCTGTCCTTGGCTTTTTCTTTGGCTGTGAGCGTATCATAAGGAACAAGAAGAGGATGGTTGCCTCCTCCTACTATAGAACATCAAGAGAATTAAAGAGCAGTTAAGGAGTTATCTGTCGACATGGTAAGTCCCAGTCTGTAAAAGCACTGTAATAATAATACATAGTATGCTACAGTAAAATCTAGTCTGAAATAACAACAATGCACTTTTCTGTTTCTTTACACAAACCTAAAAAATATTCAGATAGAAACTTTAGACCTGGCTGCAAACATAGTTCTAACATAATCAATTGCTGCAAGTACTAGATAAATATGTTGAACCTATGGCAAAAACTCTTAAAGAAGAAAAAAGTGAGTAACTGTTATGAATCTGTACTATAATTACAATTTCATTTACTGAAACTGAAAATATTTCAGTAAATAACACATCATTTCATAACAAAACCAAGACATAAACAAATATATAAACATATAAAAACAGAGTCCTGCTTTTAAACATTCTGATGACAGCAAAAAGGGTTCATGGAATTTAGCAAGATACATGCATATCTAAAAATATATGAAATTGATACAGTTCTACTTTATAATAATATATTAAAGACAAAAAAATTAGACTACATTATTCAAATGTGGTTCAGACAACAGTCCAATCTGATCAAAAGAATGGTGCCAAAACAGAGAGGTAAACAGAATAAACAGCATTTGTGTTGCTTACAAATAGCTGATGTATCGATACCTCTCTGAATGTAGATAGTAAATTGGGCAGGAAAATAAAGTTGCTATTATTAATATAAATATCTGCACAAAAAGCAACTTTCTTAGGATTTCACCTTCTAAAATCACCATCATATAGCAGAACACAATAAATTCCTATGATATTTGCTAAGAAACCCCAGGAAATTGTAAGGATAATGATCAGACTTATCTCAGAAAAAATACTACAGCAAGTCACTAGTAATATTAAAAAAAAAGGAACAAATTCCCTCTAGAAAATATTGGAGACATATTCATAGGTGATTTTGAAAGGCATATATTCTAAAATTTTCCATTAGTCCTGCCTGAATCCGTTTAAGTACACGCAAAATGGTAACCTAGTGAGCAAGTCTGATGGGTTTTTTTGGTTGGTTGGTTGGGTTGGGTTTTTTAGGAAGTACAGCCTTTGCCATTGCACTGATTGGATTTTATTCTATTATCACAAATATGATCTCATTCCACCTTATTACAGCTGAAGACAAACATGCAAAAATGCATAGAAGCATAGTAAGCACACATGCCCTATCTAAGGAAGTCAGTAAGACTATACTAGATCATTCAGTTACAATTAATACGTGCAAAATATTCAATGGAGGGGAATGACACTTGGAGTTTTCAGGTGGTGAATATACTTGTGTATGTGAAAAGCCTTCAGTGAAAAATAGGAGTATTCTGTATCTGAAGTCTGCATTATTGTTCTGTTCTTTACATATATATAAAAAAGTATTTCAAGACTAGCATATGCATATACTGGAGGAAAAGCATCACACTCTTGAGGGCCAGGTTTTACTCAGCTGACAAATACATCTACTTTTCAAATGAAAAAATTCGCCATTTTACGCCTCTACTTCATTCCCTATAGCCCCCGCCAGCCTTCTCACTACTATGCTCCTTTGCACAATGCTACAAATACTATACAGGGTTTTCATGGAAGTGCTGCTCAGAGGTAAATATCTGCTTTCAAAGCTGCCAAATACAGTAGATCCTGCAGCCTACAATTTCCTGAACTTAGTCCATCTTGTGGCTACTTATCCTGAAGAAAGTTTTTTTTCTAAAAAAAAAGTTATAAAAATTAAAATAAAAGCTGTATTAAAGGGAAATATAATTAAAGGCATGGAAACTCATAGTGATTTATTAAAGGCACTTCCAAATGGAACTTTACTTTTTCATAAAACCTTAACTACTGTACCTTTGCTGGAAGCTCAGAACTAATAAAAAAGCAAGGATACAATTAAAAACCAAAAAGGTCAAGTTTGGTGCATACAATTAGACTTGACACCTTCAGATAAGACAAAACCCTAGCTTTGGTCATTTGCAAATGAGAACTTGCTGTTTCTCCAAATATTGTTTCTTCCATGTGCAAATATAATGTTATCCGTACAAAAAAAAATTTAGCTTTAACACAAAATTATTTTAACACAGAGGAAAAACAGTAAGTTACACAATACATGACAAAATTTGACATTTAGGGAAGCAGAGATCATGGAGCACATGCAATTTTTATATGGAATCAAGAATTTGCTCTAGGTTTATCTGCTTGTCAGTTCAGTACATGATATGCGCATTTCTTAGTAAAAACCCTTTCAGATCTACCTGCAATAAAAGAAGAAATTCAAATGAAATCAGAGCCCACTGGGCAATAGTCTGAAAGATTAATGCTGGAAGGAAAATGTATTAATGTAGCTTAAATTTATTTAGAAGCTTTGACTTCTCTTCCTTTGATATATTTGAATTGGTAAACTACTTCAACAGTACACTCAGTACTATAAAAACTTCCAGGCACTAAAAATCATACAATATTTAACTAAGAATAGAGACTTTGTTCCTTTTTTTTCCCCCCAATGTTTTCTCAAATACATGACTTAAGCTAATCATAGAGAACTTAAAATACTGTAAATACCTATAGTTAATATTACCTTTTGCTTCAAGCTCCATTTTCTTTTTCTTTGCCCATATATTATGGTAGTTTTCAGCCATCATCTCAGCCATAGCCTTAGGAAAATGGAGAGCTTAGTGATACCTGTAGCAATGGTTAACCCCCAAGAAGGACAATTTTTTGGTTGATATAAAATAACAAGTTTTGTTCTCTGGGAGGTTCAATACAATTACACTGTAATGGTTCACCGAAAACAAGAGTTTTTATTGAAAAATTATGATATAGCATTTGTGCAGGATTGGTATACGTATAAGAATTAGGAACCTGGTGATAAAGAGAAAACTGTTAATATGAAAAAGGAGGAACCACAAAGGGGAGCATAGTCTGGAAAGACTACTGGGGTGTCAAATGGTGACTTGATTCTCAAAACAATGCCAGCAAGAACCCTGGAAGGCCCTGGTAAGGGAAACAAAGAACAGCAAGCCAGAGGACTGAATCAACATTGTTCCTGCTGGCTGCAGCAGATTGACTGTAAACCCATGGATATAGCCTGGTCGAGGTGGATACTCATTTGTGTGAGCACGCTGTTAAAAGCACCAACCATTTTCCCAGGGACTCCATAGATGCAGCAAATTTTTTATTCAGTATGAAATTCTCCTCCAGTGTGCACAATAGATAAGCAAAGTCTTCCTGCAAAACAAACTCTTTCAGACTGGTAAACTAGAAGCTAGACCCCAAACTAAGCAAAACACAGACAAGCTCTCCAGTCTCTAACTAGTAGGAACTACTATTTCAACATGAAACAACTTTTTAAACCCACCTCTCCTGTCCTCCTGATTGTATACCCTGTAGTTGTACGCAGTGGTGGCATTTTCTGTAGATTTCACTTTTCACTTCTTTCATGGACCTACAGAAACATTCTTCTCATCTTCAATAAGGGTTTTGAGTAACCAGTATTTCTGAATACCAACTTCTTTATTTGTAAGAATACGAATGAATTCAGGTAACAACTAGAAACTTTTCAGCCATATCTTGTTTGTCTATAGGACAATTTGTTTCATAAACTTTTCTCCAGTGGACACGTTATTACACATATCTCTCCTGTGGTAGATGCCTTCTATCATGCACACTCTGGTCTTGGTGTTTTGATAATCCAGATTAGAACCTTGGAAGAATGTAGTGTAGTCTGGCTTTTGTTTCCTTGGAAAGCAGGGTGCTATGAAGATGGTCTCAGAGCAAGACCTAGCTACTCATGGAGCCAGGATGTGACCAGGTGACCACTTAAGACCAAAATGAGAAGTATTTCCCAGGCTTACAGTTTCAGACATGGTCCTAATCCTTGCTAGCACAGTATATGCACAGGATGATGTAAACATCAAATAGCACTAATTCTCATGTACTAGTTAAAAAAAAAACAAACAACAAAACAAAACCAAAACAACCAACTTTGATCAAAGCAACTAACTTTTCCCAGCAATTTAAAACAAGGTTGAATAATCTAACCCTGAACTCCAACTTTAAAGATATTTAACCTTTAAAAAAATAAAGTTCAAAATTACATACAGTTCATTTTTAAAACTCGGATCTCATTAATACCCAACATGTTTGGATATTTTCTGAATGACAGTATCAGGACAATTAATATCTGAAATTGCATTTTAATTAAATTTGCTTAGCTTTTAAATACCAGGTTTTGAAGCTGGTTTCAAAGATCTCTCCTCATAATTAAGGACAAATAAACCATAAAGACAACCAGCTCTGCTTTATAGCTGAGGGCTACAAAGGAAATAAAATTAATGACAAATGGTAGAGGGTATAGCATAAAAGAGTAAACAAGGGAGTAACAGAAGTTCTAATGCCATTTCTTCTGTGCTTTGTGACAGGATGGTTACTTTTCCCTGTGTTTGGTTTACTGCATCATAAGACTATGATGATGCTCACACCATGAGTTGTTTCATGAGCATTAAACAAAGTCTGCACAGTCTTTTGGCTACATTGAGTACATACAAATGTTAAATGACGTAATTATAATTGATGTAATTATAATGAAGCTGTTCCATCAGTTTAAGATGAGAGTATGATGATAGAAGTAGTGTTATACAATTATCAATTTTATTAACTCTTTGGAATGATCAGCAATCTACTGAATGTTTTCACTCAAGTATGATAGTTAATTGGCAGCAAAGCCTTATTACTGCAAAGCTTATCAGCGATCTACAATGGTTAGAGATATAAAACTAGAAACTACAAGACAAGAATCAAGGAGGGGAAATCCAGTGTGAGAATGTGATCAGAGGCACAGTATAGTATATACTGTTCAATTAGCCAATAACTTTACTACTGCTGCTTGTTTCTCTGCACTATGACAGAGTTCAGTACAGGCAAACTTAACCCTGTGTTTCAGGAGTTTTTGTAGCCAGTTTTGAATGCCATGTTGCCGTCACTAGACTGGTACAAACACTCATGCTAACTAATTTAAAACTATCATCCAGTGTATGCCTACATAGTAATGTAAGCATACCCACAGTAAATTAGAGACTATAAAAACTAGCACTGTACTCCAACAAACACCATAAAACAACCCTAACGCTCCGAAGACAGAAAAATCATTTGTTCATCAACTAAAAAATGTTGTTCCAAATAACAGTAATCTATTAGTAGATCTTTCAAAATCCTACCCCCCAAAATCTTCATTCTCTCTTCTCATATCTGTTGTGACAACGGTTCCTGATTCTTATTTCTTCAGTTTAGAAAAAAGAGCAATGACAAAATTTTTGGGGAAGATGGTGGAGAAATGAATGATAAACAGAAAAAACCTGATGCTGCAAGTTCTTCTAAACAGGATTGCCTTCAAAATGACAGATGTTTGCAAAGAGAGCTGGGAAAATCAATCCAGGACTAAAAAAAAATGAAACTTTTCAACATGAACCATGTTTTTTAACGCAACAGAGGATCAAAGAGCACTCATGAAAAAGACAAAAAAAAAACCCAAACCAAAATCAAAAAAACCAAACCAAAATCAAAGCATATCAAAGAAAGTAACATTAGGTACCAGATTTGTTTAAAATAAACTAGCAGAAAATAAAAAATTAAATTGTAAAAAAAGAGTAGGCATATTAAGTGTTTCTGACTTACATGTAAGTCTCTGGAGAGGGTGACATTGCTCATGTCAATAGCTCGAGGAGCGTAACCGTGGGCTGTATCTACAGAGATCTGAATGACAAAAGTGCAAAACAGTGGAGTTATACAAGCATTTCATATTAAGAAGTTAACATTAACAAGATACTGAAAGTAATGAAAGAACTTCAGGAAAAAGTCACTTGTGTATCTCTAGTGAGCAAAAGGATCCTATGTAGCCCAACTGAAACTACATTAAGGGTGGTAAACTTAGGTAGACCTTTGCCTAAATCTCACTTATTTTGTTCCCAAAGACAGACAGCCATCAGACACAAATCTCCCTCATTCAAATGCAAATTTCACTTGAACTCGTTTAAGATTTGAACCCATTGCAGATAATGCTGCACTAAAGTTATTATTCAATCTCTGCATTTATGAGAGATTTTTTTTTTCTCGGCAGGCCAGACAATCTAGTTTAAAGTGAATTCAGGCAAAATTCAAACTTTGGATTTTCAACCCTATTTCTACATGTAGGAATAGACTCTACTAATAACGTATCTTTTTCCTTCTGTCCCTTCTCCCCACTCAGAAAATATCACCATTTTGTCATTCTTTGTTGCTATTGCCTAAATTTGTCACTGGTTTGCTCGTTACATTGACACAAATGTTCAAAGAAGGATAAACAGTGACAGATTCCCTGGTGTGCCTAGAAAACGGGCATTCAAAAAGGCTTTCCTCTATGGATTCTGCTGTAACAGATCTATGTCCCCCACAGGTCCATCTTCCTTTAGAAAGAACAGTGTCTAGAATTTTGTTCCTATCCCTGATATTATTTTAATATGCATGTATATGAACATGTACAAGGTCTAGAAGTCCAAAGGCCTCCTTTCAAAAGGCAGGTATTTTTAATAGAGAATAACACAAAGGACGTACAAGCAGCACATAGTAAATAAATACTGATGAATTATTGTTTTCTAAAGCAAACAATGCAAACATTGTTACATTAACATGAAGATACTGACTAAATACACTCAAATTCTTCAGCTGAACACAGCAAAATGCTATTTTGCCTATGTGTCTGATGACAGCACAACACATTTTAAACACAGGGTGAGTATTAATATGATAGTGTGGTCTGAAATACAGAAATATTTTAGGCTTCAGAAACTCTTCTAGGAAAGTTAAGTAATTTCACTGTAGTAAGAGAAGACTGTAACTTAGCTACAAAAGTTGTTTTCATATGTTGATATAATTTTAATCTCAACTTTAAAGTTATTCATTCTAATGAGGTCCTTACACTTAGAGTATATATGAATCTCTCTTGTCTTTGGGGCTAGTATTATAAACACCCAGAAGTCAGGAAATTTGGAAGTCAAGAATTTTGCAAGGCAATTTTAGTGTGCAAACTATAATGTGTAGTTTAGCCCAAGTGCTAAATTGAATCACTTGATGTACACTTTCTGCCGTCTATAGAGAGTGAAGAGGCGGGTTCAACTGCTCATTTCTTACAGGCCTATCACCACTCACACGTGTAAATAGTGCAGAGCTGAGTGGAGAGAAGAGGGAAAGGTTTTTCCTCTTCATTTTATTTCCCCCATTGGTTTGGCTCCATGTGTGTCTGTGTGAATTAGAGAGAAAGAGATTTTTCTCCCTTCCCCAGTTTAATTGCAAAGTATATGGAGCTCTAAGAGAATATAGTGCCAGTATTCCTCCATTTTATTCTTACAGCATTTTGATTTAAGAAGGCTATTCCAAAGCAAAAATTTTTTTCAGGATTTTATCTGTGTATAGAAGCAAACTTTATGCTGCATTAACATTGATGCTTGTATTAATTTTCCTTGAAAAAAAGAAATAAAAATAATTTACATATGTACCTTGATTTATTTCTTTACATGCTTAAAGGCATCCATAGCCATCAAAATCCAAAAAATAGCAGACTAAAATCATATTAATACTCACTATTAATGCGTAATCACCTACTGATGTAAATAATTCCCCAAAATAATGTAATTAACTTCAAATCAAGTGAACAAATACATTCCTATTTCAGTTTTGCTTAGCTTTTTAAAAAAATGTCTATTAACATATTACTTTGGAATAGGG